TGTCAGCTACTTAAAATCATTAAGTGAACTTAATTAGGTTTGTCAATCCCTAAGGCTGGCAGAGTGGCAAATAAGGCATTATATTCACTGTCCATTAACAGTCTGTTGCTTGAATGAGACTGAGCATTTTTCGAGCTATGTAGGAGCAGCGTCGGCACTTTCTGTGCAGAGATCTGCCCAGTGAGTCTGGGAGAAACTGAATTCCAAAGCCACACCTCTAAGCCTGGCCCAGTGTCCAAATGGCTATATCCCAGAATCCCCCGGGGCCAACTTTCAACAGGCCTCTTTATAAAAGGAGTCAGGGGGTGTATTCCTTGTGAAAAGCCAGGCTCCAACCAAGATCTCTAGCCGAGTCTGTTTTACCGACAAGCTCCAAACCCCACCAGCTCGATAAAAGTGAAAAAGCAACAACAACCTATTCAATTAAATGTGTCTTCTTTAGAGACACCAAAAGAGATGAGTAGGTGTGAACTATAGAGGGACAGGTCACGAAATCTCCAGTGCTATGGGCTAGACAGAGGGGAGCTCAGCTGCCATGTTCCTGAGCAGCACAGATAAGTGAGGGAGCCGGAGGAGCCCCAGACAGCTGGCTCCTCCCTTCGCCTCGGCCAAGCTGCCCACACAGAGGCAGGGCAAGGCCTTTCTAGCACTGGGGGTTCAGCTTCCTCTCCCCACGTGGAGCTACAAGCTACAGCTCTGGGGGAGGGGCAGCAGAGTGACCTGTATGTGCATTAGAACCACCTGGCCCCTGCAATCCTGAACGGACCTTGCCTTCACTCAAACCCAGAGCACCTCACTTGGTACGTGCCAGAACTTTCCCTCAGACCCAGAGCACTCCACCTAGTACATACCAGAACCTTCCCTTAGTCTCAGAGTAGTCCACCTGGTGTGTGCTAGAACTTTCCCTCACGCCCAGAGCATTCCACCCAGTACATACCAGAATCTTCCTTGGTCTTCTCAGAGCAGCTCACCAGGCACATGCTAGAACTCAAGACCTGAGGCCATGGCTGACTCTGGAGAGTAGCTTGGTGTCTGTACTTGCCTGCACTTGGGTAGGTATGGTGAGGGGGGGTGGTCAACAGAAAAGAGTGGTTGGGCCAGAAAGACTCTGAGAGCCCTGAGGAAGTTGGACCCGTCTCCAGCAGGGCGAGGGTGAGCAAAGCCAGGGGCAACTCTTCTTCACCTAAGGTTCAGGGGCAGACACACAAGCAGGTGCCGTCCAGAGTAAAGAAGGCTGAATCTGGCTTGCCCCCAATGGCCACCTCCTGGCCAGCGCCCCCACAGATTGGCTCCGCTGTCCTCTTCCTACCCCATCACCTACCATCCCCAGACTCCACTCCCCTACTGCCTCTGCTTCACCCCTGCCCCTCCCACAGCCTTTGTCCCACCTGTCCCTTCCCTGTAGCATCTGGAGTCTGGAGCACGTTGGGGAGGGTAGGCTTCCTGGTAGACAGAGGCAGCATCTCATGTTTACATCTGAGTTGACATCTGATTGAGTCTTCCCTGATTGTTGTGAGTGTTCCTAACTCAAAATATGTGCAATTCCCAGTGTCAATCAAACTCTGTTAAACAGCAGCTGCCACTGCCATTGCCTTGCAAAGCACTTCAGAAGCTCTTCTGTTTAGAAACCATTCCAGCCCCAGCTTGCATTTCGTCACCCATGCTAAGAGTCCCAGTGGCTGCTTGAGAACTTTGCAGCTCTCATCTCTCAATAATAAAGAAGGTGGGAGGGGAGGCGCACAGTTTCTCTGTAAGGGCCTATTTAGGGGAAAACAGGGACTTTTGGCCCCTTCCCCGCCCCCTACGCCCGCCTGTGCTGCTGTAAGCACACGTATGTAAGTTACTGGCTCAGGCACCCCAAGCCCACAGGGATGGTAGATCCATGATGCAGCTCAACAATGACTTCAGGGCCCGGCATGGCCCCTCGGCCTATGGATGTCAGGTTAGGAGATGACACTCACTGGAGAATCAGAAAAGTGGGCTGTGGGCCCCTTACGCATTGCTGTGCAGGAGCATCAGGCAGCTCTGCCTTCCTGATGCTTCCGCTGGCAGGGAGCACGATTCCCTCCCTTCCCCATCCCAGGTGCCTGGGAGCGGCCTCTCCCTAACCCAGGCCACTGCTGTAAAGAAAACAAGACAGCAGTATTAGGCCCCTCGTTTGCCACTTGAGAATCCCAGGCCGGGCTGTGTCCAGGGTAACACGGGCTCAGCCAGGAAGTCCTCTACGGACAATGTGCCCCATGGAGATCTGGGGAACCGGAGCTGTAACTTTGCTAAGACTCAGAGAAACCCGCTGAAGGCATGTGAGACACACGTGCCTCTCACTGTCTTCACCTCCTTCCACACCCTTTGCACTCGGGCCACAGGGGCCCGTCCGCCCTACACACCCGCACTCCAGCTCCTCCACTGGAGACGCCCTCTCCTCACTGCTCCCCCTCCCCACACCCACATCCTGGAGTCCTTTCTGGTTCCCAACACCAGCCTAAATTCCGCACCCCCATCTCCTCGGCCTGGTGCAATTCCTCCTTCCTCTGAGCTCTCAGAGCATTTTACCCACAACTCTCATGTGGCATTTGCCTCCTGCCCTATTCTGTGCTGACATGCGCGTACATCCTTCATCTCTCCACTAGACAGGAAGCAACTAGAATACAGTGTTCCTGTTGGATTTCTCTTAGAGTTCCCCACAGGCCTTAAAAAGGGTCCAACACACGATGGGTGCATTTGAAATGAAAATGTTTTTGGTAGGTGCTTATCAAAGTCATAGAGAAAGATGTCCCCCAGAGACAGAAACCCAAGTGCTGAGAGCTGGCTGGACAAGCTGGGGGTCTTCGTGCTGCCCATCCCTCACGCATGCCCATCCAGTGTGCCCAGGCGCCCCAGAGCAGGATGTGGGGATTTTCCACTGGGCACTTCTCAATCTGTGCCCAGCGAACCACCTGCCCTCCTTGCTGGTCTATCCTGACCGGGCAGGGCCAGGGGGTGGTGCGGATACAGGACGTAGGTCCCAGCATAGGGAACGTGGCCTGAAGGGCACCAGTGGGCTTGCCCATGGGTACCACAGATTCCGGCATTTCCTCTTTAGAACTGAACCACATTTGGGCCCTCCAACTGGGACTTGCAAACAAGCAAGATTATTTGTGAATGACCAGATTTCACAAGATGGATGAAGCATAGGCGGGCTTACTATGTAGTTCAAATAAGAATAATCAACCACAAACTTACGATTTAGGCAAAAGCTTGCTTTTGGCTTCAAGCACCCCCCCCCCAACCCCACACAGGAGACTGTCATTGTTCTCTGGCCGGGAGCCACCAAGCCAGCACCTAACCCGTCCATGCGCTGATCAGGGGCCATCTGCTCAAGGGCACAACATGGCTTCCAGCCCAGCCCACAGCTCGCTCATCAACTGTGACGCACATATACCAAATGGACGTTCTTTCTCTTGCGCACGTCTTCCCCACGGGCCATTCCTCCCCCCGTAGCATCTGTGTCCCATGTTGCCTCTGCTGTCTCTGCCCTGCGGTCCCCACACTGTCAGTCTCCCCTTCCTGCCAACACTCCGCTTTTCTGCTCCTGCGACCTAACCGACCTAACCGGCTGCCGGCACTCCGCTCTCTCTCCTTTACTCCTGACAGCTTTATTGAGCTGTAATTTACATACCGTTATTCACCTGATTTAGGGGTACATGCCAACAACTTCTAACAAACATCCAGAGTGGTACAAAGAGCACCACAGTCCAATTTTAGACTAATTTCATCATCCCAAAAAGACGTTTGTGTTGGTTTACAGTCAATACTGTTCCCACACCCAACCGTAGGAAACCATTAATCTGCTTTCGGTCCCTAGAGATTTGCTTCTTCCTGACATTTCATATAAATGGAGTCATTTATATGAGTGGAATCACAAGGTCTTTAACTTTTTGTCTGGCTCCTTTAGCTTAACATGGGGTTTCTGAGGTCCATCCATTTTAGAGCCTGTATCCTGGTCCATTCTTTTGTACTGGGGAGCAGCATTCCATTGCATGGCCACCCGCATTGGATTTATTCAGTCACCAGTGGAGGCACGGGTTCCCTCTCTTGATGGTTTAGCAGCCACACCAGAGGCTGCATTGTCTCCTGCAGGTCATCCGGCATTGACTTTCTGAGAAAAGGAAAGGTTTTCAAAGTTCTCGGGAAACTCTCCCTCCACAGTAGGTTGGCTGACAGCCTTCCAGGAGGACGACTCCCAAGGAGACAAAGGAACCAAAGTTGTTTTCTGTTTGTCCCACTCCAACGTCTTCCCTGGCCACAGTCCTAGGACTGACCCTGCAAGGCTATGAAACAGGTGGAAAGCGATGCTACCTCAGAGGGTTTACTGTGAATACCTACGGCCCACTCTGTGTTGTTTACAAACACCCCCCAAGGCTCCTAAGCAACTCATTTAATGTTTAACAACCAGGTGGGCACTACACAGACCAAGCCCAGGCAGAGCTGGTGCTAGGCACCAAATCCTTGAGACCCCGCCGTGTGAGTGATTGACATTTTGCTTGCTGGATGAGGGGGAAATCCAGGGGCACCGGGGAAGGAGCCAGGCTGCCTGAAGCCACAGGCTGGGGACTCTGAAGAGACAGTGGCTTTTTATCAGTTGGTACCAAAGCACTTTAATATATAGTGACTTAGACTCCACTGGAGAGAACCAGCTGAATATCAAGCCTACACATTTCCACCCACCTTGTACACCCAGAAAGCAAAGGGTCTCCTCAGAGTTTCCAGGTGTCCTATACCCAAGCCCCAAACTCCACATTAGATTAACCCACGGAACAATCCCCCAGGGAGGGCAGTGCTTCGGGCTGGAGAAGTAGGGGTCAGGCTGGCTGCTTCCTTCAGACAGTCGCTCTGAGGTTGGGCAAGGCTGGCGAAAGCTAATCACAGGCAGGTATCAGCACCACGTGCTGCCTGCTGAGTCCTAAGGCACAGCCAACCCTGGGCGTTCCTCACACACGCTCCTCTTGGCACACATACAGGTTCTGGCTGCAGATTGTCGCTTGGTGGGGACAAGGATCCAGAGCCACCGTGGCTTTCGACAATATCTCCATCAGCCTGGACTGCTACCTCACCAGTGAGTTCGCCCCGGCGCTGGCCCTGGCCCTTGCTCTCCTGCCCAGACCTCCCCGGGCCTCACCGCCCTGCCCTCACCTGGGCCCACTGTCCCCTGCCTTCCCCGCGAGCATACTCACCTCTCTCCCTAAGGAGCCTCCTGTAACTCAGCCGACGGGTCTTCTCTCTCTTCTAGTCAGTGGGGAGGACAAGATGCTGCAGGACACAGCACCCAAATCAAGAAACCTGTTTGAGAGAAACCCAAACAAGGAGATGAAACTCTGGGAAAATACACCAAAAGAGACCCCCGTCTTTGACCCTACAGGTAAGAGTTCAACTTACAAATTTGAACAAAGTAATTCTTTTTGTTGCAAAAGGCAGAAGAAAGATAAGTGTTTTGATTGGGGTGGGGAGCTATTAAAGAATAAAATGTCAGCCTTTAGAAGGAACATTTCCCATACACTGGCCCTGGGACTCCAAAAGGAAGCTGTTTGGTTCTCTTAGTACCTGGGCAAATGGAGCTTCTGAAAGCTATGCAAGGGAGCGTCTCTCCCACACGCTAGGGGAACAGCCAGGCCCTGACAAACGAGAGAACCAAGCTGGTGTCCTCTCAACTCAGTCTCCTGAAGCCACTCTCCACTGCTGAGCCAAGCACACCTTCCATCAGACTTTACTCCTCATAAAGGGCCCAAGACCGAGGTTATCTGTGGCACAAAGGCCGGCTGGCCCATCCTGGGTAAAGGCCCAGGAGTGTCAGGTTCAATGCATTTGCCCAAAGCTTGACTCCCCTCCAAAGCTGCTTGATTCAGCAGCCCCCAGGCCGAAGGGCTTCTCATGGGGACTCCGACGCTTCAAACACAGGCCTCTTCAGCCTCTGCCCCGAAACCATGGGCAAGACTTCTTAGCTACCCTTTGTACCAGGAGGAAATCTCCTGGAATCAGCCTCAAAGCCAGCCTGATGGTCCTCAGCACTTGTTAACTCTGGGAGCCCAGCCCCAGGGAAGCTGATGGAGGCCCCGGGCAGACGTCAGCAGGCCAAGGGGTCCCCCCTAGTGGGCAGTTGGACCTGAGTGCAGGAGGCTTCTTCCGACGTGAGACCTGGAGGAGCAGGCGAACAGTACACATGCTTCACCCACACTTTTTCCTATAAAAGATAACTCCTTACTAAAATAACAGTAGAGAAATGATAAATCTCTAATTTCTACTATAGATGTGAAATCCGCATTTAATGCAACATTAAATGAACAAAAGGTAGAGGTTTATACCTTCGTGCTCAATTTATTGGCTCTCTATGCATTAAGTAAACATTAGCTTTGTTTTGCCTTTGAAGACACCCCTTCCTTTCTCTCCTCCAGACAGCGGCCCCAGGACAAACTACCCTGTCCCAGTTCCTGCCTCTTCTAGCCAAACCAGGGGAGAGTCCATTGCTCTTCCCATCACCTCTCCCCTTTCCTCTCTTCACCTTTACCTAGAACCCCAAAATACCTTTCCATGTTTCCACGCAAAGGGGAACTTGGCCTCCTAAGCTCCAATCTCTGTTTCCCGACCCTGCCCAGCGGATCACGGTTCCTAAAAGCATCGAGCAGGAGGGAGGCAGCCCGCTGTTAATTGTTCAACAGCCCTCCCCACCACCCCCTCCCCTTGAGTTACCTCCCTTACTTCCGGGCCCTTTTTCCACCACTGCCTCCTGCGATAAATTCAAGACATGCTAAGCAAACATCACGGCAAGTGGCCGCCCTGCCTCACCACCAGCACTGATTACATAGCAGGGGTTCCAGATACACTTATTGATTGACTGGTGGGCACTTAATGCTTGAGCTCAGTTCTCAGATGTCGGCTGCTGGCCCCCCTGCAGCCGGCATTCAGGACCCAGCCATCCACCCTGCCTGACTCGCGGGCTTATTGCCATATAACTCCCACTGTTCCCAAAAGGCTAATCGATAAGGGCCTGCCCAATGGCCACTCAGGCTAATGAAATCACGCAGCGACTCAAAAGCAGCGGTGCTCCCCTTCCACCTCCAGATAAAACGAGAAGTGAGCGGCTGCCTGAGAGGCTGGAGGTGACAATGGCTGGAACGCATCCTCTTCTACTGTGTGGCCCCAGCCTCAGAGCAGGGTGGCAGGCAAATGACTACAGGCCAGCATTCTGTCCCCAGACCCCCTTTGGAGCAACCCCAACTCAAAGGGAAGAGGACACTGAGTCTTAGTAGGCTCCTTGGGAAGCTTTAGAGAACCAAAGAGCCAGGACTTTCCCAGGACCCACTGCCACGTCGGGGAGCAGCTCACGTGAGGGAGACATGAGGCAGGCTCCCAGCACCCCTCCCCTGCTGGATTTCAGTTGCTGGAGGCATCTCTCCCTGAGCCTGAGAGATCTGCCAGTCCCACCTTGCTGGAGACCCTAGCAGTGGGTGCGGGGAGGGAGTGCCTCTGTCTTAGGAAGATTTATAGGGAAACAGGGAGCAGGGCCTCCTTTCCCCCCCACCTACAAGACAAGGTCCACCGAGCCCTCTGAATCAGCCCTTGGCCAGGACTCAGCCCCATGGTCAGGGAGAATTGAGGTTCGCTCTCGGCAGCTTTAATCTAGACCCACCCACCGTTCTTGCATACTTCCTGTGAGGGCAGCTCAGCGCTGAGAGGTGCTGAGCAGAACAAGATCCAGGTCAGGAGCTCAAAGAACTAAGAGATTATAAGGGGAGAGCACAGATAGACAAACGATTAAGGGCAAGTTAAGTGCCTGCAGGAAAGGAGGGTCCTGGGGGAGGGCAGGTCCGGCAGGCTCCCGGAGAGGCCGAGGCCAGGGCCACAGCCACTCAGAAATGGTCACCAGGGCGAACACTGGCCTGGCACCCACCTCCCATGGGCCCAGCATTGCAGGGACAAGGTCAGCCCACTCTCACTGTTCTGGAGCTTCTAGCCCGGGGGAGCCGAGAGGCTTGGGAATGGGCAGATCACAGCCAGCAACGTGAAGATAACCCAGACGCAGCGCTCCTACCTGGGAGCCCCCCCCAACCCCCCGCGTGGAGAGGAAGGGAGGGCTGGGGCCCAGGAGGGAAAGGAAAGGGAAGAATAATGGATGAGCCTGCCTGGCCCTGGGCTAGGGTGTTGCACTTGTCAGCCCCTCCCGGCCCCGGGACAGCTGCTGGTGTTGCCATTGAAGGGATGAGGCAGGTGATCTAGAAGAATATTAAGTGCCCACAGCTGGTAAGGGAAGGCGCCAGGATGCGGCTCTGAAGCCCACATTTTTTCAGCCAGCTAAGTTACTTTAGAGTATCCAGGTCTCCGATCAGAGATCAACACCAAAAAAGAAAAAGCAGGTAACGCAGCCCGGATGAGAGCCCCTGACTGACCAGTAAACAAATCATTTGTCAGAGGAGACAAGATAATAAGATTTTCTTCCCAAAGTTCAATGCTGTCCGTTTCTGCTGGGCTGGAACGAGGGCGGCTGGTGGCATTTCGGGTCTCCTCTTGGCAGGCGCTGGAACAGCTCCTGGAAACGGGAAGGCAGTTTCAGAAGACAGCCTCTCGCAAAGCTTCCAACTTTCCCTAAACTCTCCTCACTTCCTCCCAGGCAGTCCCCGCACCCCCATGAGGGCCTGACACCCAGGTCCCTCACCCCCAGCCCCCGGGGCGGGGCTGAGCAGCCAGGCAGGGGAGCACCCGGCCAGGTGCCTCACAAAGCGTTCTCGGAAGCCTGAGTCACTTTAGCTAATCAGAAAGAAACTGAGAGAGAAAATGGGGCAAGTATGAAGTCTGAGAAAATTACATTTGTCAGCTTTGCACATACAATTACACTAACCAAATGGCTGGGATAATGCAATCACAGAGCTCCAGAGCTAGTGCTCGCTCTCTTCTCTCTCTCTCATTCTCTCTCTCTCTGTCTGTCTAATGAACATTAGGGGTGAGGAGGTGTGAATAGGCTCCGCCATCCTGTCTCTCTCTCTAAAAGCCCAGGTAAGGTCAGGCAGGACCCCCAAGGCCTGGTGACCCTGCCTCAGCTTCCTTAGCCCTTTCTTCTTCTCCTACAAGCTCACAGGTTGTATAGGGAGAGCAGAAAGCAATTGCCTCAGTTTGAGAACCAGCCTAAACCTTGGGCCCTGCCTGCAAGCAACCAAACTCACGGAGTCCTAGCGTCACACCACGGACTGGCCTCCCAGTTGGCTGTTGTCGGTTGGTTTACCATTTTCTGAGGACACATCTCTTGCCTTACGGGGGCTGGAGGGGCTAATTAAAAATATGTAGGGTCACGAAAAGAGCCCTGGGCCAGGAGTCAGAACCCCTCCCTGTGCGTGGCCCTGGCTGGCCAGCACTAGCAAGCGGTGCTCCTGGGTGGCCCCGCCCCTGCACACCTTCCCCGCCCTCCCCTGAGACGGACACGTCGGCACACACGCAGGTCACGGAGCTCGTGTGTGAGGGGCTGACGGGAACACAGACAAGGGTGAAAAAACTGGTGTTTTCAAAAGTTGGGGTTGGAGGTCCACGGTCTCCAGGCCCTGCCCCATCCTCAGCCCCCTCGGGTCTGAGGGTGAAGGGATGTGGCATAAGGGAGCCCGAGCTTTTTGTGGCCCGGATCTCTGATTAACCCATGGCACTGCTAATGTGCCCAGAAGTAAGAGTGACAGACTGTCCATTCCCACATAACGCTCCTGTGAGTCAAGAACAGATGCCAATTCCAATGAGGAAGTTTTATGTGTTTCATATAAATTGATTGGGTCTATTTCTGCTAAATGCATTATCCATTCACCACAGAACAACTATTAGAGTTAATAGAATTTGTAGCTAGAGCCATTACGTTCCAAGCACGCCCTTCTGAGGATGACGGCATCGCTGGAGGGCAGGCTCTGCCGGACCAGCCCCCTTGCTCAGAGCCTGTCCTCTCACTCGCTCGTTTCCATCAGAGCCTCTGCGCTCCGGCCCTGCGGGCCCTGCCAAGCTTACTTCAGCAGCACGCCCAAGAGTAAAGACTTACCCAGGTCCTAAATAAATAAATATGTTCCAACCCAATTTCAAAAATCCTATCTTATACCTGTCAGCACTGCAGGCAACCCGGTCCTAGGCCGGGGCGGAGAGGAAGCTGAGATTCCCGCTGTAGCCATAGCTCTTCACTGGGTGCCAGGCATTGGGAGGACAGGACACACGTAACAGCTGCAGGGCCAGGGAGCCCCACTCACTCTGGGGGGACACTCAGATTCGGCTCTTGGGTCCATTGCGTCATTAACAGCTTTCCCCAGAAGTGCCCAGCAACAGAATGCTGGGCTTGGTGCGGCAGGGAGTAGGTCACCCTTCAGGAACCTAGGCCCAGCCCAGGGTTTCCCCCCTGTACCCTCG